TAAATGTCTTGAAGAGATGGAGAGAAGACTTCTATGTTATTAAGTTCTTGTTTCGTTTGCATCCTAATCTCCAAGGCATTTGTATCTCAAATTTAGCAGATGGAAACGTTCCTTCTCAGAAATGTTAATTCCCGTGTTCTAAGGATTTATGTTATTTCTTCATCTTTCTCAAGTACTATTTGAAGAGATAATTTAGCACTAGTATTTTCTACTGGAAAGCAGGTTCTTCTTGAGGAAGTGATAATTCTTGTGGCTGTGGTCCCAGTAACAGAAGCCATACAACATCTACTGGTTTTAGATGTCCGAATGCCATGTTTAATGTTGATAAGTGATAATGGTGGAGGTAGAGATATCCAAGAGTGTGATCATGGTAGAGGAGGTAAGTGTACACCTTTTGGAGGAAAATTGGATAGGTGTTAACGGAATAGGCACACCATGCTGTGTTTTCTTTTGATGTTAATTCACCACTTCAGCATGTTAGTGCTAGGGCAGTGTCAACTTTTTCAATGCTGAACAGTATGTAGTTATCTCCAAGGCAGTGTCTACTCTTTCAATACTGAACGGTATGTAACTATCTCCAAGTCCAAATACTCTGCTTTTCTTCAGCAAGCGCATCATGGATCTGGTACTGAAGTTGCTTCAGTTGCTCACTAACGTATTGTGCATATCTTGCTATTTTTACCCAGTCCTCGAGTGTCATAAACTTAAAGAGAGTCTGCTATTTTTACCCAGTACGGTCATCTCTATTTTCAAGTTTGATTAATTGTTCATTTGATTCTAGTTTTATAACTCTTGCTGATGGTGGTTGTCATCCCATAGCTGGTGGGACAGTTTGTCCTTCGTCTCCGATATCCTTGTATTCAGTACATCAAGATTCCCACATTTCCAATTAATTTACTTCTTGTTATACCAAATCTGTAAATTGTTCTGTAACATCCTATCTCTTCTTGTGTGTTAGGGACTTCAAAACGAAGATGTTTGGTGGAGGTTGGAAGCGGGGGGGGGGGGGGGGGGGGGGGGGGGGGGGGGGACCGTACTCCGTACTCCCAGGAAATAGTTATTTTCAAGTCAAATACTAGCATCATGGCTCTATCGTGATGCATTTCTACAATTAGTATATGAATTGACCTGTTTATAAATTGAAGAGAAGCAGATGAATAATAACGCCGTAGATTCTTACAAAGTTGTCTGAACTGCTTAATTACCACTATGGTTGGTCTGTTAAAAAGTAATCACAAACAGAGAGAGAGAGAGAGAGAGAGAGAGAGCTTACATGGTAGTCATATAGATTCTCTTGAGGATCATGCCGCAAGAAAAAGGATTTAACTAAGAATTTAGATTTAATTTTGCACTTTTTGAGCTGTAAGTCATTGCCACCACAGTATTTCCTAAACAATATCAAATTCAAATGCAGTTTGGACGCTACTCAGATGTATAATTAAAATCTAACAGCCGAATAAATATGTATAATCCAACGGCTGTCTATGATCAAAACTCCTTTTGTCCTGTTATTCAAACGTTTGAATAAGTTAATAGCTCACAGTAGAGAAAGAGATGGTTGAATCAAAATAATTTCGTTTAAAGTTCTATTTTTGTCAGAGGATAATATTAATGTTTTAGTATGTTCCATCAACACACTAGAAAGGTTATATGATATATTCAATGGGAATTAGGCCAACATTTCTTTTGAAAAATGGGAGATTTCTAAGTCCGTGGTTAAGTACTTATTAATTCTTGGGTTGTAATTGTTATCTTATTAGGTGGCTAAGGTATAAATAGTACTTGGACTTGGATGTCATTTTTTCCTTTGCTTTGTTCAATGACCTACGTTGGAAAATTGTAGGATGCACAACCATAGACACCAAACTTTATTATCTCTCCTCACATTTTGAACAATTAAGGGCAAATGACACTTTATACTTGTAAGAGACAAAAATCTCTTACCTTCGGTGTTTGATTTGAGAAAATTAATAGGGGCCAAACTGTTAGTCCTATAAAACGAGCAAACTATCAGAGATCGGGAGTAGACTGGTTAGAGATACTCTAATGTTTAAGTCAGTAATGACTCTGAAAGAAAGCAAAATAATTTGCAGAAATTCTAGTGTGTACCTTTGACTTAGGCTTAATTTGGATTTATAGGATTTTATGGCCCACAATTTTAGGTCTTGTATACGTTAGGTGGTACAACTAATGTTTAGCCGAATCTTTTTTGGATGCTAGGATCTCTCCTAAAATTCTTCTCTGTTATATCTGTTTTATAAAGGTGTAATGAATATTCTCCTATGATTAAAACAATGTTCCCTTCAATTCAGCCTTGTCTTACTTTCTTGCTTGTCGAATGGTTTCTGTAGGAGACTGTCTTGGTGTTTTGCTTGGTCAGCATGTCGAATTAGCTTTTTTGACAGCTCGGCCCAATGAACTAAGCACTATTCATCTGCTTGGTTTGATTATGATGGACGTTATTTCCCTTATGCATTTCTTGCACGTGTTATTGGTCACGTGTCTCAAGGCACGTGAGCGTATTAACTGTTTCAATCATGCGCAGTCATTTTGTACCCCTTCACTTGCTCCTTCAAGGAATGTTTGTCACATGATACACGCCAATTGATGTTTCTTGACCGTTCATCATCTCCACATTTAATGCGCTGCTTGGTTTCTCGCAAAAAGGCACTGTACGTGTATTTTCCCTTTGCAAAGTTGAAATCCTCGGGAATAATGTTCCTGGGGATGCCAATGTGAGTTCTCCCGAGGTCGACTCTTCTCTTGATTTAACAAAACAGTGAAAACATGCTGCCAAGAAGGGGAAGGCTATGGAGATCAGTAAATCCGACCAGGGTGGGGAAGTGGTTCTCCCTTTTCGCCCCGTCCTTAAGGAGAAGGGTAGGGAAATCTTTGTGAGGGATTCTCATCAATTTTTATTTTTATTTGATTCAGGTTTTGAACCAAAACCTGAAGTCCATGGGCCTGTTGCATAACAGATTTGTCATTAGTTTTTCCCAAGAATATAGTTTTCAAGCCCTTCATCGTCTTTTATTTTATTTTTATGTATATATATATATATATTTCTTTTGTAGTGCATCCTACAACTCTCTTGCGGTGGTAGTAGTGCGGAAAATATCAGTGTTGGACAAAGAAAAAAACTCATTTCAGGCTCGTGAACTTGTTCTTATTAATTTTAACACACAAAGATCCATATAATTAAAAATTACATGGAAAAAGCAAGGAGAAAATGTTCAGCACAAGAGCAACAAAAAATTGACTCAAATGCTTTTTAGTGGCTACATTTATAAATAACTTGTCCATTCTTTTTCTTGTTCCAGAAATCTCAGATTTTGATTGACCAGACCAGCCAAACTTGAAATCAAAAGCTACAACATTGTTGGGCTAACAACAATGCCTTATCATTGACACTGCTCGAAAGAAGCTTCATGCAACATAGCATGAGTTTAAAAATATTCCCTGCCAAACTTCAATGCCTACCTTAGTTTAAAAAAATTCCCTTCAATACCCGCCAAACTTACTCTTAGTCAATTTAATCCACTCGAAACTTGGAGGAGACAAATTGCAGCACTTGAAACCACAAAGAACTGATTGCAACATTGTTAGTAATCTATTACAATGAATATTTAATTGTTATATAACTTTTAAATAATGCTTCTATAATAAGACAAACACCCACTGAAAAGTGAAGGAAAAGAATGAAAAACATCATTATAGAATTCCTAAAAAGAATGGGGTACATAAGAAACTAATCTTTGCATTTTACAAATATTGATCCCTTAATCTCTTGGTTGGTAGAATCGTAAGACAATGAAGAATGACCAATAAAATTAAACTCAGTTATATGATTTTATCGTATGATTAAGCCACCATACCATGTGATATTTTTATAGGCATCAACAATGTACACATACTATTTCCTCTTTTTCTTTTTCTTTTTCTTTTGTTGGAGAATTGTTTAGAAGTTGAGTATGTTAAGGGCAGGGGAGAGTAGAGCTCGAACTCGGGTCTATGACATAGTAAGGGCTACCTTACCTGGGCTCACCTTGACTTCATTATTTTCCTCGTTCGGCACACATCAAGTTTAGCATTGACACCAAGTCCAGACAAAGCACTTCCCGAAATAGAGGCTTAAGCCCCTGAGAAGATTCAAACCTTCAACCCAAAAGCTTCTGCGCCATGACAATGTTAATAGGAATAGCAGTTGAAGCCTATTGAATCCAAACATTCAACTGCAATTTTCAGCTAGGAAGAAAAAACATATTTGCATCACCTACAAACCCCTTGACCATAGTGACAATGCCTTAAAAAAAGGCGTCAAATGAGATGTTTTTGGAATCAAAACATGGTTTATTTTCCTTCTTTAGCGAAAGACGCACCCATCTTTTATCTTTTTTCACTATACATGCACACTTACACCTTATCCAAGACCGGACCAGACCCTAAACGCTGACATCCACATCAATAACACAAACTTGGCCTAACTTTTACAGGTCGATAGACGCCTTATAAACTCACGCCACTTGATTTCCCTAATCAACGTGGGACTAGTTTTTTCACAATGCATTCACATAATCCTCCAAGAAGGGACCTCAAAGGCTAACACTAACCACATGATCAAAATGATCTTAAAAAAAAAACACAACCTGAGATAGACATCTATAAGACTAGACTTCAAAAACTAAGATGGTACAACATTAACTACATTTGACCATGGTTAAGAGGCCAACAAATGTAAAACATTGTTCAAACTATGAAATTTGCCTATATTGTTGCACAAACAGAGATTAGACCCATTTTTCAAAAGACATGGAAAATGAGGTTTTCGATGCAGTCAGACTTTAATGGGGAGGACCTTTCACAGGTCATTACTAGCTCTCGATAAAAATAGGTCATGCAGCATGTAGAAAAAGTTGAAGCTTAGTGCAGCACAGCTTGGATGAGATGGTGAACAGCTTGATACATGAGATTGTTATCAGCAATCTTCAATTTCTTTGATTTCACTTTTTCACGAGAACATATATCACGACACGTGGAGTGCAGTAATCTGGATGCCACTGTGATTGATCAACACGCCCAATATTGAACTCCTTCATTGCAGAATCTAAGAAATATTCAAGGACAGCATCTAACAAGGGAACAAGTATTTGAGATCTCTGCAACTTTATAGCAATAGGACAGTATAAGACACAAAACTACAATTCTTACCATTTCTAAGCTCTCCAGCCAAAAAAATTGTTGTTTGAGCTTCACACAGTCGAATTAGTGTGGCCAACAAGTCCATCACTGCTCCCTCGCTGTATATTACATCCGAGCCAATCACTGAAATACATTTTTGCCACAAATGACAGAAAATTAAATAGAGATCCAAATATATAGAAACTGGTAAACTTACTTAGACCAAGGCAATTAAGAACTAAAATTGACTTATCTGCTATTGACATTCTAAAAGAACTTGTTTGACAGCAGGTGTAAATCTTGGGTCAGTCCAGCATGCTAGCTTAGACCAGAACAAAACTATTCGGCCATAGGAAAATCTCACTGTAATTGCTACAGAACTAAATGGATGTCAGGGCATATGTGGCCTCTTGTGTTGGGTTGATTGATTAGGACCACCCAAGGATATTTTTTTATGGTTAAGGGGCCTCTTCACTTATTATCAATTAATGTTGAATTGGAAGCTTTAATATGATATCCAAGATGATCCAGGATATAGTTACTGGACAAAGTCTCCTACCCATTTGCATTTTCCGGTAGCTTGTATCCCCATTGAATAATTAGCACCACTCAAGATTGATTTATAGGGTAAATAATGCTAATTGATTTTGGGTTGGACGTTATAAAATGGTATTAGAGCTGAATCTTGCCTAGTTGGTAAGCCAAGTCTCTCACCCCTTCGAATTTTCTGTCTTGTCCATATATTTTAATTTGATTTGTTAAGCCACGTGCACACCTGAGACACATGTAAGAGATGGGGTGACGAGAGCTTGTATCTCACATCGGAACATCCAATGTTTGTTATATATTTAAGAAGCTAAGTCAAATTATTTCCAATTAATTTTAAGATGGATACTCTAAAACAAATATCACCCAGAATTTTGTTATACTATCATAGTTCAAGTCCTTTGGAACCATCTAGCACATGAGACTTATGCAATAAGTCAATCAATTGGGAATCATCAAACCATTCTTAGACGGCTCTAATTCGTAAAGCTCACAAATCTGAATAATCTAGATATATCCAAGTGCCAATATGCAATAACTGTGTCAAAATGGCTCCACAAAAAAATAGTAGGAATGGGGAACATGGACCGAAGACCTATAAGCTTTTAGGTTAAGCAGAGTTTAAATGTATATTAAGGCCCACATTAGTAAATCCGCCCATATTCATAGAAGTATCACAAAGTCGACGACGAGGACATGACCTATTTTTTGTGTACTTTCCTAGATCTGCTCTCGTTCCACAGCTGGAATTGCTATTTCAACATGTAAATTTGATTTGGATGCCTATTGTTCTTGACATTTACTTTTTGTAGATTGCTTTTCCTCTTGTATGTTCTTCAGATGATTAAAGCATTTGAACACCCTCTTCATCCACTAATATTGAGTGTTGCCCAAGACGTTTGAATCTGTGCCATACAGTCCTCAGAGTCATCTACACATTGAATGCTCAGGTGCAAAGAATAGCAAGATTTTCGGTTTAAGAAATATTTTATGATATTAGGCTTAAGATATTCTTAATGCTTCTTTCATTTTCCTGCTCATGTTCCTCGCACTTCAAATGCATAATGTTCAATCTAATCTAATTTAATGCCATGAGAAGTGAGCAAACAAACACTAATGTTGAAATTCCACATTGCCTTTTTCTGGTGCTCAAACTTGAGATTACTATAGAAAACTAACAAAAATTCTAATTACGAGAACTTGGACTGAATGGGACACTGAAGTATAGAATATGCTCAATCACTAAATTTTCTAAACCAATGTACATGTCAACCAAATCAACGTATTTTTACCAATGAAAATAGGCTGTCATCCTTGAGATGAATACCATGAATGTAATTTTACAACTGCCTACAATTTGAGAGCGTGGCACGAAAACATTTACCAGTATGCTAGGTGTTAAGAGCAGATAATGTGGGGCTTGTTACCGTAATCAGGCAAAGGTGTAATTAATTCCAGATCAAGTTGATCTCCCCAAATGAGCTCATTCACTGTCGCAGAACCCCGCACATCTCCATACAAATTAGCTTCAACATTCTTTTTCAATAGCCTCAGTCTATCTGGCAGATCAGTAAGAATAACTTGAGCACCTAAAAGTGCCGCAATACAGCTGGAAACATGAGAAGAAGAAGATAGTTCACGAAGAGAATCAATGACTTCCTGGGTAAACTAGTGAATAAATGAGCAATGCTATTGAGACCTAATTTACTGACCTAATTTGCTGTCCTAATTCACTATGACCTTTGGATTGATTCTGGGCTCTATCAAACATTGAAATTTGGTGTTTATCCAATGATTCCACTGAAGTCACATCATTATGTTAGCAAATTAGGTCAAATTTTTAGATCTAAATAGAATTACTCGTGAATAAATATATATATATATATATATATATATATATATATAGATCAAGCGAATTACTTCTAATTTAGTCATTTCTATGTTGGCACAAATATGAAAAACTATCATTTTATAGATATGTCCTGCAAAAGCATCCAGCTGACATATTGTGAAAGATGAAAATCCCAATTGAATGGACCATTGTGGTTTTCACTTTTCCCTTATTCAAAAACGGCTTACTAACTGAAATATATGAAAACTTGAGCTTCGTAAGGCTTGAGCACATCTACATAATAATTCCAGCTCCCTAACTTAAAGGCTTATGGGATCCGATCTGTTTTTAGCATCTTTCTGGGCTTTGATCACCAAGGACTTTGACTGAGTTCCTTTCTTTTGCATTTGGAGGGATGGATAGCTTTATGTAATTTATAGTCAGGCCCTCGTATAGTGGAAACCTATGATGTAAACTGGTTTCTTTCTTGTTTGATATTAGGCTGGATGACTTGCCCACCTAACATTACAATTGTTTGTTTCTACCAGAAAAACTAAAATATAAAACAATTGTCGAGGTCCCCCAGAAAGTCTCACATAGTAACAAACATAGGAATACATACAAGCACTATTATTACCCAACTAATCCACAGCCAGAGCCCAGTTCAACAACCTTCTTGCCTCGAAGAGATATCATCCCTGATTCCACAGCATGCTCAAGGAACTTCCCCAGAACAACTCCACTGTCCCACATCACTGCTCCAGTTACTCCAGGCGTGCCCTACAATGGCAGTAACTCAGATTATAAGATGTACACACAGAGGAACAGGAAAATATGATTGATTCATTTTAATAACTGTATATCGTAACATTGTTGCACCTTGTCCTTGAATACATTTCTGTTCACAAAGACCCAACATGGAGGACAAAAACCAGAACAAGAAATCCAGCCGAGTACATACAAAACTCCCAGTTCAACAAGTTGTGAACACCATAGGAGCTCAGCTAAACCACACTGGATCAATTCAATCTTCCAAAAACTCAAGGTTTTAAGTCGGTATTGGTTACATAACAATTATAGTGTAACAGTATTGACAATATCGGTCATCCTTAATGGTAATTGGTTACCAATGTGAACTTTGTTTCTTGCTAGCAAACCCCTAAAACTAGAGGGCATACACCTTTTCAACACGAGTTTGTTGGATTTCAATGTTCTTTAAAGATTTTAGCTAGTTTAGTGATGCATAAAGAAACAATTTTGTTATAGATATTGAAGTTTCCAACCCAATCAATGTTTATAGAAGACTTATTTAGGATTATTAGAAATAAGAGAGAACAAATTAAAAAGAATTTTGAAAAACTGAAGAGCATAATTATACTCAGGGTTGCCATTCATATTCATATTGCAAGTGGTTTAAAATTACAAACTGACCCCAAGAATGAGACAATATGATCAGCTAACCCTACAAATCCACTTAACAGTCTCCTCAAGCTAGACTGTAGATATCTATCATACCCAACTTGTTGCATAAGACATTGTCCTCTACCTGGAGCTTTAGTAAACACATCACTTAATTGATCCCCAGACTTTAGATATATAGTAGAAATATGGTTACTCAAGGCACAATCTTTTGCACATTCTTCTATGAAACACATGCATAGAAGCAATGGTATTGCTGGCTTGCTGCCGGTTAAATCAAAATTTTTTTTTTTTTGACGAATCAAATTAAATACATTCTCTTGCAAAAGAGGCTTTACCCACACTATCTCAAAAGCAATGTGTCATAGCTTTATACTCGGTTTCAGCACTCGAACTAGCTAAACAATTTTATTTTTTGCTCTTGCACGTAACTAGATTCCCTCCAATAAAGTCCAGTAGCCAAAAATGAACTTCTATCCACACAAATTCCAACTCAATAACATTAACATCAGAGAACCAACTGCATCAAGTGAAGTAGATTACTTTAACATTATTTAGTTCATGGTACAACTTTTAAGATACTTTGCAATTAGACATAGAACACTCAAATGTTTTGATTGTGGATTCTGCATAAACTAACTAACAGTTTCAACAGCAAATGTAATACAATTTCAAGTCAATGTCAAATATATAAGCTTACCAACCAGCCATTTGTATCTCCATGGGCTATCAAACACTTCACCACTATTCTTGTTAGACATCATGTTAAGCTCCACTTTGGAGTGTCAATTGGCTTAGTTTGTTACAAACTCGTTTCCTCTAGAAGATCAATAACATACGTTCACAATAGCTTCCTTGGATCGAGCAACCTCTATGCTCAAGAAATACCTCAAAGCTCCAAGGTCCTTCCGCTTCGCGTGACAGTGGTTTACCCAATTGTTGTTTAGGTCTAGTACTAACGTCCCTATAGTTCCATGTAATCTAATATCATCAAGATATACAACTAGAGTTATTAAACCATAGCAACTAAGACAAACAAAAACTGAGGATTTGATACAAATTCTCTTCATTCCAAAATCAGCAACAAACCATCGTCAGCTTATTAAATGAAACCTGTGAAGACTGCTTAAGCCCATAACTAGTCTTAATGAGCTGACAAACTTCCTCACACCCTCTTAAACCACATACCATGAAGGTTGCGGTTGTTCCATATACACCTGTTGTAAATACCTATGAATAAATGAATTCTTAATATCCAACTGATAAAGAGGACAATCCTTTATAATTTGAAAGTTAAAGATGCAAATATGATATGGGTAATGACTAACAGCTAATCAAAATTAGCAACATACAGAAGGAAAAACACACATACATACACATATACACACAAATGTCCAAAAACTGGCTTACACCAAAACACTAAAATTAGCAAGTTTTGGCCACACCATGTAATAGTAGCAGCAGAGTTGCAGATTTTAAAAGGGTAATGGTAAAACAGCATTAATGATAAAAAGATTATGAATATACACACATATATTTCCCTCAACCCACCTAAACAAAGCCTAGTCCTAAATCAGCTTCTTATTTCACTATTGTGCTCTTAATGCTACTATGTGTTCTTACTATCTCATTTAAAACAACTGTCGGTCTGCCAAAAACCACCCCAGACATGATTGTAAATAGTAGAAACATATATACACACACAAGACATATATACATACGCATACAGAAGGATAATGGGTAACATAGACAAATTAGAAGGATATAGACGGAAATATGAAATGGAAAATTGGGAAACAGTACACACAAATGTCCAAAAACTGGCTTACACCAAAACACTAAAATTAGCAAGTTTTGGCCAGACCATGTAATAGTAGTAGCAGAGTTGCAGATTTTAAAAGGGTAATGGTAAAACAGCATTAATGATAAAAAGATTATGAATATACACACATATATTTCCCTCAACCCACCTAAACAAAGCCTAGTCCTAAATCAGCTTCCTATTTCACTATTGTGCTCTTAATGCTACTATGTGTTCTTACTATCTCATTTAAAACAACTGTCGGTTTGCCAAAACCACCCCAGACATGATTGTAAATAGTAGAAACATATATACACACACAAGACATATATACATACGCATACAGAAGGATAATGGGTAACATAGACAAATTAGAAGGATATAGACGGAAATATGAAATGGAAAATGGGGAAACAGTACACACAAATGTCCAAAAACTGGCTTACACCAAAACACTAAAATTAGCAAGTTTTGGCCAGACCATGTAATGGTAGCAGCAGAGTTGCAGATTTTAAAAGGGTAATGGTAAAACAGCATTAATGATAAAAAGATTATGAATATACACACATATATTTCCCTCAACCCACCTAAACAAAGCCTAGTCCTAAATCAGCTTCCTATTTCACTATTGTGCTCTTAATGCTACTATGTGTTCTTACTATCTCATTTAAAACAACTGTCGGTCTGCCAAAAACCACCCCAGACATGATTGTAAATAGTAGAAACATATATACACACACAAGACATATATACATACGCATACAGAAGGATAATGGGTAACATAGACAAATTAGAAGGATATAGACGGAAATATGAAATGGAAAATTGGGAAACAGCTGATAAAGGTTAGAGAAGATATACATGGGCATCCATATATGTATGCACGTATTGATAGGGAGAGATAGAGAGAGGTGTAGATAATACCAAAGAAGAAGGGGACTGGAGAATGGAGAGTGAGCGGCCACAAGCATCGAGACGAAGTTGGAGTGAGGATTGGTGGACAAAGGCGTTGTGCTTTGAGAGTGTGGGTTGTTGAATCCCCCAAAGTAGCATTATCTCCTCCCATGGGTCACCCGTCACCACTCTCACCTTCCCACCGTATGATCCCATCCCTACTACCATCTTAACCTCCTCTTCCTCTGCTTCATCAACCTCCTCGACCAACTCACCGCCCAACACGCCACACTGCATAGTGAATCAGTGTTTCGTTTTGTGGGCGTGTGGGTGTGACGGAGGGAGAGAGAGAGAGGGTGAGACCGCTTTTTCGGGAAACAGAGAGATACTGTTACAGTTGTGCTAAGCACTTATTTTTCGGGGACAACCTAATCGGGATCCTAAGGTCACGTTAGGGCTTACTGGAATTACAGACGTTATACGTGAGCTACCTCTTCCCGTGTGGAATCCAATCGAATCGATTTATTTTATTAGTTTTGTTGTACCTTTACGATTTGAGTGATTTTTGGCTGTTAACAAATTTGTCGATATGCCTATTAATAATGTCAATATGCATAAAAGAATTAGAGTTCTAATTAGGGCTGTCAAAATTTGACACAACACGATTAACCGACATGAATCGACACAAATTAAGCAATCTTGGGTGATAAACGGGTTGACACGCCAAACACGTTTAATAAACGGATCGTATTCGGGTGAGACTTGTTAAACCGTTTATCACACGTTTACCCGTTTAAATAAAATTAATATAATAATATATTAATAATTATTTAAAAAAATTAGAAAAAAAAAGAAGTAAAGAAATCAATAAAAAAAAAAAAGTAAAATAGTAGTTTAAAGACAAAAGAGATGAGATGAAGAGCACTTCAAAGACAAAGACAAACCAAAATCTTTTGTTTTTGTCCCACATTGAAAAATAAGGGGAGATGAGAAGGGTTAAATTGCCTATAAAAAGCAATGACCTCTTGTTTTTTTTTTTTTTAAGCCTTCAAATCTTATTTTTATGAGATTTGACTAAAAATTCATCTTTTTTGAGGTAAGTGTAATTGACAATAAAAAAAAGTGGAGTATTAAAATTTGTTAATATAATTTTTTTAAAATTAAACGGGTTAAATGAATTGTGTCGTATTACCCGTTTATTAAACGAGTCGTGTTTGTGTTAAGATTTTTTACCTGTTTATTAAACTTGTCGTGTACAGGTTTATATATTTTTCACCTGTCACCTAGTTAACCCGACACGTTTGACACCCCTAATCCTAATAAGCTTGTCAATATGCATAAAACAGACTATTAGAGTCCTCTAAGCACCTATACCCGCAAAACCTAATAATACTTCAAGATGATGATTCTTAGAGAGAAAAATTGGAGGAGAGAAAGAGTGACGAATTTTGGTGTGTTCTTCATTGTATTCTATATACCTCTATGTATAATACAAGAGTTTAGATGATATATATAAATCTTATCTCAATGTCAACTTATGGGTTATCTTAACTTATACGTGATAAGATTAGGATAATAGAGAAGAGTCTAAACCCATTAAGACTCTTACTACATAGAGGACACTACTAGGTAGTTATCATATCTCCCACTTGTCCACATAGGTTGTCTCAGTCGCCATGCATACTTCTTCTCATTTTTTTATTGTTATTTCACTCTCCTCATACATGCAATGGGGCGTCCGACTTGACGAAAAAGAATAAAGTGGGGGTGCTATATTAAGCCACCATCTAACTAAAATAGCACATCATCAACAAGATATCGTTCATACCCTAGATATAAACTTAAATCATACCGAATCAAGTATCATCTATCCCTCTTGAGACTCCTCTTAGAGCAATACTTGACCAAACTCATTTCATGTTAGTGTTCGTTATTATCTTACACAACTAAGCGCAATAATCGCCCAGGTAATGAACTACCAAAAACACCTTTCCTAGAATCTCATATCAATACATTTTGATTCGAGCACTTTTTTAGACATGTCCCATGTGATCGTATCTATCATGATCCTGGGTGACATGCTAATGTAGTTACTTCGAACCTCAACTTCATGACATATCTCTAGGTCTAAGGGTATAGTGTATTTTAGGGCTCACACAGTGATATAGAGGGTATCAATCTTGTCACTTTTCTATATGGTCTATTATAGCACATACAATATAATATGTATGCTATGGTGGAGCCCCCCACTAAATTGTTTATTTCACTCTTAAACACCATATGAATTTGGGTCTAGTTGCCATGTAGGCATCTGGCCTGAGCTACTCTAGGATTGTTGTTCTCCAAGCGTTTCTTGAGTGTTCACATTCAACTTTATTCATGTTTTATATAGAAATCGTGGAGGCATTTCATATTGGACTTACTTAAGTCTCATCCTAGTCCGAAATTGAAATGAAAACATTATCAATCAATAATGTCTATTATGTAACATAAATTTAGGCCATCATAAGCTCACTACAAAAGCATCAATATGGTAACTTTGTCTCATCCAGCTCGCTATCTTAGCGCCAAGGCGATCGCATGTGTGAGTGAGCTGATCTCAACCTGGTGACATTACTATAATTATGTGTCTCATAAAAATAGTGTCATTCATGCAACCACAAGTAGGAGATAAAATGACAAATGCATGAAATATAAATATCCATATGTCCATCATACAATCGAAAACAAATCAAATCCTACATAACCCCAAAATTCTGACATGAGTTTGGAAGATATCTCTAGCAATAAGCTTAGTGAGAGGATCAACCACCATTCTATTAGTGGAGATATGCTTTAGAACCACTTCCCCTTGTCGGACCATGTCTCGAATGTAATGAAATCGTATATCAATATACTTGGTCCTGCCATGATATTTAGGATCCTTTGCATATGATAATGCAGCCATATTATTGGATTGAATCTCAATAGTCTCATCAACGCGGGCCATAATCCCTAATCGCTGAATGAATCTCCTCAACCAGGTTGTGTCTTGAACTGTTGCTAAACATGTGATATACTCAGACTCCATAGTAGATGAGATTTACTTTTTGTAGTGAAACTAATTTTATTAATTAGTGGGAGTTTGTTCTTTCTATTTTATTGAGAATCTTTGTGGGCAAAAATGGATGCATTATATTTGATATATGGTATGCATGTGTGTATTATATTTTACGTTATAGACAATCTGGTGTGTAGAATTTAGCTTATGCACAGAAGACCAGATTATCGGATCCTTGTATAATATGAATATATGTTTACAATTCTAGAAGGAATTGGACACTCCATCAGTATGATTGTAGTGCAATATTTTGACATAGTTTGTCTTGATTGTAAGAGACTGTTTGATGTCTTAGATTATTGCGCTAGTACACTTTGTGTATTGAACAGACCCATGTTGAGGTTATTTTTTTTTTTTTGATTTAATAAGATAACAAATACCTTATAATTATTATGATTGTTTATACTCTTAATTCTGAGATATTTAATTGTCACTGATTAGTACTTAAATGTAGCATATTATTATGCCTTTTTAGGACTAATTGTACTTTGATAGAGTTCAAGTAAGGATATTTCAGGTTCTAAAGTGAACAAGGGCTCGAGGGCAACAAAAGTCACACTTGAATGTCGCACCAACACATTAGGGAATGAAATTGGAGAGGCTTGCAACAAAGCAAGAACGTTCGAACGACAACTAACGTTCGAACGTTCATTTGAACTATGACAAAACCAGCCTGCTGAGATACAGTGTGTTGCAGCCAAGAACCAGGACCCTGAGGTACTTGAGTACCACGTTCGAACGCCAACTAACGTTCAAACGTCCACTTGAGTTGATTGAAGGCCAGACTGATGAGACATGGCGTGTTACAGCAAACAAAGAAGGAGGACTCTGAAGCACTTGAGTACCACATTCGAACGCCATTAAACGTTCGAACGTCCCTTGGAATCAGTTGAAGAACAAACTTCTGCATAGAGTGTGGAAATGAACTTCACAGAAGACCACTTGAGTGGAAAAGGTTAGGCCCCATTTGGCGTTCGAACGCCCATAAAGCAAAAATAGAAGACACGTTCGAACGACAGACACCGTTCGAACGCCCCTAAAGCAAAATAGAAGACAATGTTCGAACGTCCTCCACAGACTGCCTGCAGAGTAGTTGGTTTTCATGGGCGGCATACACTATTCACTCATCCTCTCTTATCTTCTTGTCTTTCCCCCCTCCCTTTCCTTACTTATAAATACTCCTATGTTGGGAGCTTGAAAGGCATTCTTCCTCTTGTAGAGTAGGAATCCTTTTCTCTTGTAAAGTAGAGTAGAGAACTAATTCTTGTACATTTCTTGTTTATGTTTTCATTTTGCATTTGTATCAACTATGATGGAGGCTTAGACTCCCCTTATAGTTGAAGTCTTTTATTTACTTGTGCTAAGTTTTTACATTCATGTTGTGACAACTATGATGGAAGCTTAGACTCCCTTGTAGTTGTACTTGCTTTTATTTACAAGTATCAAGAGAGATAGCTCATTTTTTGGTTGTGGTGGAAACCCTCCAAAAGTAAATAGCTTTCTTCTACTTTCATTTGTTAGCTTCTTTTACTTTCATTGCTTGAGCATCTTCTTTCTTAGAGGAGTGAAACTCTTCCACTTTTCTAGAGTTTTACCAAAGCCGTGAAGGATGGAACGTGATTCACTCATTTTTCGTTGAAGACTGGCTCCGTGGATAGTATAGTTTCCCTTATAACTCCTCTACTTGGAGGGATGAGCATCACTCAATTTTTTAGCTTTACCAAAGAGATGAAGAGTGAGTAGTTCCTTATTCACTCTTTAGTAAAAGGTGATGAATATGTATTGATTATCCGGAAGTTATACTTGTGCATTTTCTTTATGCTTTAATGCTTTATCTACTTGTTTATTGAATGATTAGATGCATCTAGTAAAGCTAAGGTATTTTGTATAACCATGAGTTCTTTTTATGCCACGGATGACTCTTACATAGAAATACCCCTTAGTTCAAGGCAAGTACCCCAGCTAGATCTTCATGACAACCTTTTAATCTTCACAATTATTGTGCTTTATTAAAGAATGAAACATTAATACCATGGTTGGATGCATTGTAGAAACACTTGCTTGTTTGTAGAAGGGTTGAGTCTCGGTACAGACAATTCTTGAAAACTTCTAGAAAGGCATCGGAACAATATGCTTAATTCACAGCATCCATCTTTATCTTCCAATTAACTTGCTGTTGACACAAGAGTTAATTGAG